TTAAATTAGTTCAGTTTGGATATCATGTACGTGTTTGCATCATTGTACGAAATAACTTATTTTACATCAGAGGAGACTTAATACTCTTGTCCGCAATGTCCCAACTTTAAAAAATAGTGGCCCAAGGTAAGCTATGATGTATGTACATGCGTCGCAGCCCGGATGCACCCTCAACTATTCTAACATCAGTGCAACCCGAAGTATTGTCAGATAAGCAGCAAAACTATGGGTCATTGTATCACCTACTCCATATTTCGGTCTGCAGTATAACTACAGTCTCAAATATATCGACAAGGGCGTAAAATGCTCACTATTAATCAGCTTGCATGTGTAATTACAAACAAATTACAACAAGCAATAAATACGATACTACCATTTTTGCAGTATAATGATTTTCATATAATAATTGTAAAGAATGCGACAATAGGAATTGAGCAAATCGTCTGGCTTTGTGCTTTTAACATTCCTGCAAATCAAATATACATGTCTGACAAGACAGTAAAATATTCCGAAGTGTCCCAGGAGTGTGTGTGTTTTTCTGGTCATTTGAAAACATTAAACATCATTCAGCAGATGTTATAATACTGCGACAATGCTTTTACTTTTACCCAGACCACAAATCTCGATGTACTAACCACCGTCCTCTGGAACTATGAATCTTTGGAAACCAGTCGAAATAAACGCATGGAAGCTTTTTTTTTCATATACTGAAAGACATAACCGGTCCTTTCAAAGGATAAAGGCTGCAGAAATGTTTCCGGGACAGATTTTTTTACTCTTGTAAAGTACAGACAAACCGTGCAGAAATTTAAAACAAAAGATGCTGGAAATCATAAATCCCTACAGTGCGGAAACGGGCCCTTTAGCCCAACAAGTCCACACTGACCCTCAGAACATCCCACCCAGACCCCTTCGACCCACCTAACCTACAGATCTCTGAACACTACGGGCAATTTAGCATGGCCAATCCACCTAGCCTGCACATCTTTGGACTGTGGGAGGAAACCCACGCAGACACAGGGAGAATGTGCAAACTCACACAGTCACCCGAGGGTGGAATCGAACCCAGGTCCCTGGCACTGTGAGTGCTAACCACTGAGCCACCCTGAAATGAAAACAAAATGTGCCGCAGAAACTCTGCCGCTCTGGCAACATCTGTGGAGAGAGAAATGGTGGAAACGTTTCGAGTACGATATGGCTTTTTGGGAACCGAAGAAGTCTATCAGACTAGAAATTTTAACTCAGTTTCTCGCTTCTTAGATGCTGTCAGACCTGCTGACAGTATCTCCAGAATTTTCTGTTTTTTATATTAAACAAAATATGTTTCAAAAAACGTAGAACGTTTACACAGGCACAATATTCCTTAAAACATTACTACACAACCTCTAAGCTGAGGGTATCTGGTACACAGGTGCACACATACCATTACCACCCGGGACAGTGTGGCTGCAGCGTTGTGATAGAACCGCGAGGTGACGCTGTCCAGCCAGGGTACAGACAGGGAACCATGACTATGCAAACCTACCAGGCAGCTTGAGCGTTTTTTATTACTTCAAGCAATCTCCATTTTAATTCATTGAAGCAAGCTATGCGCAAGTTTTAACCTATTGGCACTGCTGAAAAGAATCAAGGAGCGAACAGAAATTGAATCTTCTATTCGCTGAGAATCAAATGAACTGAAATACGTCAGTTTCCCCCACCTAAACCTACCTGAACAAACATAACCCATTCAGAACTGCTCTTCAGATTTTGAATATTGAACTACTCGTGCCTCGCAAGACAAGCGTGCATGGTCTAAATACACATGTTGCTTGAGCTTTGCGCCAGTTATTTCTCTATAAACCGTTGCGGTTCTTTGTATGTTTCTGGTGCCCTAATAAACGCTTAATAGCACGAAAGCTTTCTCTGGAGCGGTTTATAGTCTGCTGGTACTGATTGCTGCAATGACTGAAAATGGTTTCAAACCATTTGCGTTTCAACTAAATTGGACCATTATAAATAATTAGTGGAGATCAGTTTGATGCATTTGCTGAAAGAAGGCGCAAATTTCCATTGTTTTGCGTCCAAGTATCCACTTTAATCTAATTTTGGGGAAGATGTTTTCCTTTTGATGATGCTAATCTCCGACCAAAAGCATTGAAGTGGAAAGTCGGATCTCGCAAGAATCTGAGTTTTAAAAAAAGTCCAACGTTACCGTGTAAACTCAGCAAAATAATAATAAAAGAGTGGCTCAATTTAAGAGAAAGCTTTCAGTCTATTTGAGCTCTTCAAAGCCATTTATTTCAATTCGAACTGCAAACTAGCAAAGCTTGTTTTATAAGTTTCGGCAGCTTCATGTTAATGACGTTAATCTGTGTTTCAAATATACCACAATCAATTTTAAAAATATTTCATTTTCAAATGAAACTTCTACCAGACGTTTGTCGTTGGAAACTTTGAATGGGGAAAAGCGAGCGCGCGTTTGAAAGTTTGAGCTTGATGTGGAAGTGAAATAGTCGGAAATAAATTGAATCGCATCCTTTTCATTTTGATTTTTGCCAAACAAAATTACACGTATTTCTGAACAAACTAAAGGGCTTTTGAATTCAACACGTATTTGCATCGTACCTGCTACAACGTGCTTGACGATTTGCAGACTTGGATTACAATAGTTTACCACAAGGTATGACGATCCACACTACCCCTCTCCCCAACACTCACTCCTGGGACTTCAATATCACAAGGAATTGCTGTTTCAAATGTCTGAATAAAGGAAAGGTCGATTCAGGAAAAGAAAGACGCCAAATTTGGAAACAATATTCGGTATTTTAAGCAAAACAGTTAATATACAAACCAATATTTAGCAATTTTCGTTAAAAAAAGAGAATTGGCCCACTTTGCCGGTGTTCATTGAGAGTGCCAATTCTCTCACGGCTAGCCTCCATCAATACCAGCACCCCTCTTAGCCACAGCAATAATTGCTCTATCCGTTTTACACATCTTAGCGTCGCAAGTAACTTCCCGCAAAATGAACCACAAACCAAGCTCAGCGAAACCAGCTTTCACAGTTTTTTGAAATAATCTCTCAGTAGTCACAACGACGAGTGAATTTTGCCAGGCTCACTGCATAAAACAGCTCGTTTAACGACAGACCCGTTCAGTCTACACAATTGAAAGGAATATTCCAGCAAAAATCCTAGAGTTTGAGGCTGCGCAGCTACTTTGATGCTTTAAATCTTTATTACAGAAGCTTTGTAAAGTAATTTTAATCACAGGACGATTTCAAAGTGCCTGCATTAAGTGACCTCTCGAGAAGAAAGGCTGTAAATTGTTCACTACTCGAGACTTTCCTTGTTGATGGACAACAAGTTGACCCACGGGGCAACAGTGATCTCAGCTTTGCCTTGATCTGTGAGCTGTGATCTGCAACCTTTGGTCTCAAATCACATAAGAAACCGTTTACTTTCTACTACCTCTGCACCCTTCTCTGTACACACCTTGTATTACAGTATAATGAGCTTTGAATTCGATTGAACGTGTGCCGTGTCACTAAACATTGCCTTCACAATTTCAAATAATTCATATGAAAGAAAAATAATTGCAGGGGGCATGCTTTAAGATGAGGTCGCTTTTAAACACTCTCAAAACCAATGAAAACACGATCGACGTTTTATACTTGGATAGGCATTAAACCCATCGGGAAACGGCAAATTCCAAAAGGAAGGTACAGCGATAATTGCAGACACCACAAAGATGGTCAAACAAGCTAAAAATGTTTAGAACCTGACCTGGCCTTTCACTGGCCTCCAGTGGGATTCTGGGTTGGGAACAAAAGACTAAATGGTGAAATGCATATATTTCATGATTCTCTTCACTTTTATTGTCATGAGTCGTGTGCATAAACCCAGACAGGAGAGAATATTCCTTTGGACCGTGGCCCTGGACAGTGTAACTATTTAATTAGAGCAAAAAATAAACGCACTCCTATGAGTGAGAGCGAGAAACAATTTAAATTGGTCCCAGTTTACAACTTTTATATACCTTTCTGTAAATGTCCTTAATTTATCGTGACATGAAATGTATGCAATTATAACTGAGCCTCGAAAGGCCAAATCCCATCGCTACTAGTTAATTGGTAATTACTGAGGGAGCAGCTTTATCTAAAAGGCACAATGAGCGTTGTAATGCCTGCCGATAGCTCCTTGAGTCTTTTACAACGGGAGTTAACGATATTCAAATCACTTCCGTGCACCGTCTCAGGCCTTTGAAATTTTCCAAACGCATACATAAGGCTTTTGAACTTAACAGAACCCCTTTGATATTAACGGATGATGCTTGCAATGCAACCTCGTCATTTGAGATAGGTCTAAGGACGTTTAACATACAAATACCTTATGTTAATATATACAGTTCTTGCAGCAAATTGAAAGGAAAAGGACTGCTTACAAAGTCAACTCCTCCTCCCCCCACCTCTGACGGGCCCCCCTCCACAACAAAAACAATTTTAACTGGAATGTCGAAATAAGTCGTAGTGTTAGTTCTGAAGATTTGTTTTCTCGAATCAAGTTGACTCGACGTGCAGACAATATTTAAGAGTTGATTTTTCCCCCCTTCGGGATGTCAGCTAAACCACAACAAGCAACATATGATGAATAAACGTACATCAATGTATTTTACATTTCCGCAGACATTTCTGTTGAAGTTATGTTTTGCTTCTGCCAATCCATATGCGTGATCTCTTCCCATGGCTCATTGGAATTATATCAAAGTGCAAAGCTCCTGTTTGAATTGAAATCTTTCTTGGAGCATTTAGATCGTAGTTTTATTTCATACATTCCATCCCAACAACATATTAGCAACTTATAAACCAGAGGGATGCAAACATCACTCAGATAAAAACACAAAGGTGCTGAAACGACAAATAGGTTATTTCAGTTCTCATTTAAAAAAACTAATGAATGATCTTTTGTAAAATTATACCTAAAATAGCGTTTGATCGTTGAGGTTTGCTGTACATATATTATTTTATTTTGATACACACATTTCAGGTACAATTAATTCCATGTCTGTGCCGAGATACAAAGAAAATGTATTAAATACAGCCTCAGGTCAGTTGCTCTCGAATAGAGAGAACTTAACACTTCAAAAGTGCCCAGAACATGACAGAGTTCAAAACCCTATAGTACTTGCTGTGTCTTTCGACCTGTTAATAACGCTGGGTTACTCTAATAGGTGTACCTAATTGTACTTTACAAGCTTTGTCGTCATTGAGTGGTTTATTTAAAGATCTTTTACTATATTTTCCAGTTTAAATGATCGTTTAAATACTTTTTTTTCTAAAAAAAAATCAAATACACGCAGACATCAGGTCAGATCTACTCCAGGATTTATTCTATATTTTGGGGTCTGCTGCAAACCCACTTGTTACGAAATATATGCGAAATTTGCCTTTAAACTATCTGACTGCCAGTATATGCAAAGAAGTAGATACATGCTCCATTAAATAAAATAAAAAGCCATTCAACATTTACCAAACATCGTCTGTTTCATTCTATTAGATTTTGTTTACACAATTCCAAAATAAAAAGAAAAAAGTTCTCAAAGTGCATCCTGGATACACCTCAAGATATATAAGTTCAGAAAATCGCACTGAATTCTGCAGCGACATATCACTAACTTTCTTGACAACAACCAAAAAAAACCCTTAAATTTACCCTTATATATGTTCAATTTTTTTCAGAAGAATTTACAGGAAAGTACTATACAAATCGTCTCCTGGACAAATAACGTCTCTCACCTAAATACTGGTGGAGTAATTATTTAATAATTAACTATTCTTAATTCTGACCCCAGTTTTACAAAGCCTTGCAGATATTTTACAAAGTTGTTATCCGTATCATTCTCACTACACAGCGCCGGCAATCGTGTTTGAAATCAGTCCGTCATTTTATTTCTCGTTTTGACAACGAAAGGAATAAGTACCTTAATATACATGTTGAAATACTCATCGAGGAATTTACAGGCAAAAAATACTATATATACAAATCGTCTCCTGCACAAGCAGAATTTGCACTTGCAGCTACAAGTGTTGGAACTTCTTCAGGTGGTTGAGGACAAATATAAAAGAAACCGGATACTCTCGCCCTGGGCATATATTAGGATTGTGCGTTTGATCGGAAGAAAAGATATTTGGAAAATAGGTAAGCGTTGAGAGAAACCTTCCCGTTTGCAGAAGCCAAGATATTCGATTTTGAAAAAGCGGCCCGAATGAACAGTCGGCTGTGCAGAGGTGAAAACATACCGTGCCAAATATACGTTTCTATTTGTGATCAACGTGGGCCTGTGTGTGAACTCACCAATGTTGGTGTAGTCCATTGATTTGAAAAGGAAATTTAAAATGGATATCGAGAGATGTGAGCAGAAAAAAAAGTGTAAACTGCATTGCAACGGGTGAAAGTCGGGTTCACAGAATCAGGCGGGCAAATTGTAAAAGGAAAATAAAAATCAGATGGGGGATCCTGGGGGGATTGGAGCGAGTTTGAAATGTGGTTCTTATTTATTTATTTTTTTGTCCTCAGCCACCCAGCCTACGCTAGCAAAGCAGAGTTCGGGTGCGCTTTATCTGTTGATTTCTCTGTCTCTCTGTTAAAGCTCTCCCTTTAGTTTTGAAGTTGTACTTACACGTCAATCTCTCCTGAAAAGTTAAAGCCCTACTTTTTGTGTGTGTGTGTGGTTGCAGCTTCAGTCGAGGCCGTTGAGGGCGGATGCGGAACCTCCCTGGGCTGCCGCCTGCAGCAACTCGGCCGGGGATGGGCAGCGAGGGGAACCGGGGACGCTGTGCTCGCTGTCGGTATCGCTGCCTTTCTTGCTGCCGCCGGTAGCGGCTCCTGCTCCAGCTGCAGTAGGAGCCCCGGGTCCCCCTCCTCCTCCACCTCCCGTTCCTGCTAGCCCGCTGGCTTGGTGGGTCTTGACGTGTTTGCTGAGGTGGTCGCTCCGCATGAAGCGCTTGTTGCAGACCGGGCAGGCGAAGCGCTTCTCTCCGGTGTGGGTACGGAGGTGGCGCTGCAGCTCGTCCGAGCGGGTGAAGCGCTTCCCGCAGAACAGCCAGTTGCAGACGAACGGCCTCTCGCCCGTGTGCCAGCGCAAGTGCGCCTTGAGGTGCGACGTTTTCCCGTAGACTTTGCCGCAGCCCGGGATGTGGCAACTGTGCAGACCTTTCCTCCTCAGGCTAGCCCCGGCTGGACCCAGGCGCTCGGCTTCCTGGCAGTTGGGGCAGTCGCAAGTCGCCCGGCCCGAGTAGCGACGGGCCGAAGAGCCGCGGGCGGCGGAACTCAACCCTCCCGGAGCTGCCAGCGCCGGGTTGCTAGCCAAGGGCGAAGGGGCCGGCTCTGGGTACGACGACGGTGGCAGCACCGGTTTGAAACCCTCCTGGGCGATGAGATGCTGCCCTCCAGCCAGGAGGTGAGATGAGCCTCCGCTGATAGCCGCCGCTGTGCTGAAGGCCGAGTGGCCGAGGGCCGGGTAGTCCGAGTTGTAGGCGCCCAGCGGCGAGGCGAGCGGCCCGTTCGGGTTCTGCACGTCGAGCCAGCCTGCCGCGCCCGGGTGCATGTCCCACCAGGCGCTGGCACCGCCGCCCACTTCGCCCGCGATGCCCGGGTGCGACGGCTTGAACCAGGGCTCGTACGGGTGCGCCATGCCCACCCGCGGGTAGATGCCCTGCAGGCTGTTGGGCAGCGTATCCACCGTGGTGTGCACCTTGGAGATGAAGACCGGCTGGCCGGTGTCCTGTGAGCCGCTGCTGGCCGCCGCCGACGGAAACACCGAGTACTCGTTCCCAAAAGGCGAGCTGGAAGCCGGGTTGGAGGTGAGCGAGAAGGCGCTGCTGCCCCCTGGCCCTCCGCCGCCTCCTCCGCCGCTAGCTCCGCCGCCGCCTCCTCCCGAGGAGCAGCTGACACTGAAGGAATCGGACAGTCCTGCCCCGTTCCTGGCCCCGAAGCCCGAGAGGCTGGAGCCACTGTTGCAACTGGAGACGGACCTTTTCCAAGGGTGGAAGCCTTTCCCAAAAGACGCATTGTCCGATAGGGACGGAGACGGGCTCGGGCTGCCGATTTTATTGCACGTTGCGGCCAACATCGCCAGAGGAGTTGATCCTAGCCTCGGTTCTTCCTGGAAACGGGGGAGCAAACACAAAAACACAACAATGCACACAGTTGAGATAAAGCCCGGTTGGATACTAGCACATTAAGACTGCAACTGACCTTACAAAGCCAGCTGACACTGGCAGGCTTAAAAGTTGCACGGTTCGTTCAAATACGCTTAAAGTTAGACGCGAAAAAGTGCCAGTATATTACGGGAACTTTGATGAAGCTCCCATCGAAAACAGCTTTTACAGTTTAATCGTTAGTCTCTTAACATTAGGCAAACTTCAAGATTTAGCACAGAATTGGGCCTCATCCAAATCCACAAACTGCAACAGAAAGAATAGAACTAACATACCTGTAGAACCTGCAGGATCGCAAGGATAAATCAGGAGACAATTTTTTTTACAAAAAAGATCACAGGTAACTCTGCTGAAATGTAAAAGTGAGGCCTCCCTTTGCCTCTCCGTGGGATCGCGTTTAGAGGAAGTTCGTGCAAATGCCCTCAGAGCGGTGCCAAACTAAAAAGTGACTCGGCCCTTCTTTTACCTCTTGCTTTATAAAAAAAATCTCAACAGGAGACTGATAGTCCTGCCTTGACTGGGACTTTTTTAACCACCTCGATCCAACAACAAAGAGCTAATTAAACCAGCAAGAAAATCCTTAGACTCACCCCCAGAAGTGAAGTTGCCATCACAAAAAAACTGCCCTCCTCAGAGGATCTTTTTTTTTATTATTATTTATAAATCAGAGCACTTTTTTTAGAGGTGTGCAATACAATGATCAGTTCCGCCCATTCAACCACAATTGTAGCGTCTCTCGCCTTTGAAGTACCGCTAAGCCGCCGGCAGCCAATCAGCGTCGCCGGCGTCGTGACACGGCGCATTGTGACGTCAGGTGCCGCACTTGCACTGCGCTCAGCGACTGGAGCGGAGCTCAGAGCGGAGCAAGGAGCGGACAGCACGGCGTTACTCACAGCGGAGCGAGCAGGGGCACAGCAGGGGCAGCTTACAGCTCAGGGAGGGAAGCACAGCGCAATTTACCAGCGGAGCGCAACTCATGGCAGAACGGGCGGTCCAGGGGCCACCAGCCGGACGCGACACATAGCGGAAACGGGGCAGGGTAGCGCAGCTCACAGCGGCCGAGGTTCACAGCGCAGGGACCAAGAGCGGGCAAGCGCAGCAGGCAGAGTAACGGGCTCAGAGTTCAGCAATACCTTGTATTCAAAACGCGTCCGGCTGATTTTGTTTTTATGCTTGTCTTCTACCTTAGCCACCAACACCTGTTCCCTTGTTCCCCTTTCTTTATGCGTAAAGCAGCAAGCGTTTCTCAACACGTTTCGCCAGTAGGGTGTTTTATGGATGTGGTTGTGAGTGTTTGTGTATGTTGAAGGTAAAACAAATTGTTTGTCTTTCCAATGGTGTTCTGTTACACCTTAAATAAATATGATCTGAGCCACTTGTCCCGAGTGAAAGCAGTTGCTTTTCTGTTGTACTTGGGCGTTTCATTCGTTTCTATTGTTGTTTTAAGCCTTTAGTGTTTAACACCCCCTCTCAAACAAAAAAAAGCAAAGTTTCACCAGAGCAGTAACATCATGTCAAAACGCCACGAATCTGTTTTCATTCCTGAACTGAGACCCCTCTGGAGTAAATCTCCCTCCTCTGAAATGATGCTTGAATTCGAGTTCCACGGAAGTAGTTGCTTAATGAGATCTCCTTGTTTTAACTCGTTTGACCATTTTATTTTTCCCACGACCTGTTTCTAAAATGCAAAGCAGGCGTCGCTTTAAAACTCTTACTCAAACCAATTCCGTCGACGAAGTCTGTCCTGAGGTACAAGATCGCCTGCCGATTTTTGCCTTTAAAATCCACAAAGCGCAATAAATGACACTGAAGTAAGTCGAGAGGGATGCCCAGGTCCACGGAATCGCGAGCGTTTCCAGAAAGCAGTTTGAAAAGTTGGGTTTCACACTTTACCGAATGCGTTTGGATTCTGTTTCAATATTTAATATCTGGATATTTCAAAGCTCTGTTAAGCCTTTGTTGAAACGATCGTGTTCATGAAAATGAATGCCATGTTTATTTGAGCTTGCTGATGGTGATGATTTTAGCATGTTGAGAAGGCGTGACTGGACAGCCCAGAAGGAGGAAGGGGTGGGAAAAGGAGGGAACTCCGTTTAACAAATAAAAGAATTAACTTTGCCTTACCGACCTCTTTAATGATACATATATAATAAATATATGGATTAAAACGTATATATTGGTATTTCCCCTAAATTAGCACCATCTTATTTGGTTTACTTCTCTCGTTCATGCTACTGTCAATGATCTTATTTTCCCAAACATGAGTGGTTCGAGCTTGTTTCAGAACAACTGACAAGTACATGGGTAAACGGCGTGCTTACCTTTCAGAAACAGCAAGTAAACCAGCAATAAAGGAGACGCCGAATCCGCCTTTTCAACTTAGCAAAACATCAACATAAGCTGTTCTAAAACAGATCCGCGAAGAAAAATATGTAAAGCATGAGGCAAATAAAAATGTAGGTGCACGCTCCTGCCAAAGAACTGAACTGAGTGGCAGTAAATCAGTTTGACAAGCCAGAAGACACGGAACCACAACGTTGAATGTTGTTAGGAAATACAATCGCCGTTAAAACATTGTTTCTCGTCGGAACTATCGATTGAGATCGATTTTGGTGAACGATTGCATTGTTTCCAACTGTTTCTCACCTCAAGCATTCTCCATGTCTGCCCCTTTCAACAAGTTCTCGATGGCATAAAACTCTACACTTTATATCATGAATGTGACGTTTAATTACATATATTATTATATATAATAATTACAGCTTTGAACGTTTGACCAACAGGTGCAATGAGAATTCATAGAGAATTCAGGGGAATATTCAGACGACACAAACTGAAAGATAGAAAACGCAATAAGTTGTACAGCAACTTAGTGGACCTTTCTAGGTCCGCACAATTGAACTACAGAATTAAATAGCAGTTCCCACTGGCCCACATATACTGTTAAATCTTTTTACTGTTATTTACATTATTGTAAATACACTCAAAAGTGAGTTTAAATTTGTACTTTTTTCGCGAAGTAATGTATACGTCCCTTTCCCCCACCCCGCACCTCTCCTGCCGAAACTATGTTTAACTTACGTACACTTTAGAAAAGTTGGCGGAGTTGTCAAATCATGAATTTATCACTGAAGCTGCCGGCTTGTTTATGCCTCTGTTTCACTTCTTGCTGCCACAGATAAAAAAAAAGACAAAAAGGCACTGGCGAAAGGGGGACGCCGAATTATGTTTGACATTTAAATTCATCATGAATATAGAATTGTGGTTAATGAGAGGCAAGTTCAGACCATTTAATCCATTCCCTCGCGATCTCCGTTTTGTTTACCTGGGATTTCTCCACCAAGAATTTTATTTTTGCTAGCTTTCATTCAGAAATCACTAAGCAAATTAAAACCGAAGCTTCATGTCGATATGTTTTTGTTTTACAATTTTCTTACATAGAGCGTTAAGAAAAACGAATTGGGTGCGCTTTTCTTAAATTTAAACACATGAATGCAATTTATACATTTTGACCGAAGTTTTTTTCCCTCAATCTTGCAAGTAATATCTTTACAAGCTGATAAAAATGGAGCAGTTAGAATCCGCGGTTACTCTGTGTTTTATCCAATTGCTGTGAGTGCAAATAATTCAAAAGGAAATACTTCCAATCAGATTTTTTTTAGTGGTAGAAGAGAGACTTATCATTCCAGCAGAAGGCAAGTTCTCTTCTAATAAAGAAAGCATACATTAGCATTCTGCATGCGCCTGCAGCATAAATTTCATTTGAATTTCAAATTTAATAAACCAGGAGGTTTTTAATCATCCCCAGTTTTATTTGTTTGATATTAACATGCTTATTGACCGGGTCTGTTGACCAGTTTGATCATTACAGGACAGCAAAAAGTTAATTAAAACGACCACAGCTCCTTAATCATATCATCTGTCTCATCCATGTCGGTTGCTTTATTACAGCCTATGATTGATAGTTGCACAGATTAATTTCTCTGTTTCTTCGATTTGGAGAACAGCTTTAGGTATCTAATTTACATCCTAAGATCAACCGGAGGCACATCTGGACGTATCTGTTACTTGATTCTGTAACAACAACAAAAAATAGGGAGACATTCAAAACTCCACCGATCAGAACAGCTCTACCCTAGGCGTTTAACGCTGTCTGCGGGTAACCGCGACTGTTAGCGGAATTTCGTTTCTGCTCTGGTTCCGATACAATTTAGGCAAAAGCTTGGAATCAGGTTGTAATTAATGAGACAGGCTCAGTGGATGGACGGTTTGTAAGCCACTTCACGCCCGCGATATCAGTTATGAAGCTTGTAATAAATTTTGATCTGTTGACATCGCAATTATCCAGCGCACATTGTCATATGTTTTATCTTTGTACTTCCAAGGAGGATAAAACCACTTACTTATTGACCTCTCTCCTATTTTGTTTCTTTTTCTCCTTATATCTATTTGCCCAGGATTCCTGTCACTAACCCCAATTCCTTCCTTACTATTCCCTTTCCATCCTTTGAGTTTTCTCTCTCCATCCCCCATTAACTCTCTCGATTCCATCCGCATCTCCTCAGCCTGATTCCCTTCTCTCTCTTGTTCATTAACACGCTCTTTCAGTTTCAGCGATGCCGGTCTAATCTAGTTCTATTTTTGTGTCATGTTTATCTTCGCGTCTTTCTTTGTTGCCTGTTGTCCCTGTATCCGTCGCGTCGGCTGGCCCAGCCACCACTTTTCTCTGTCTCCATCTCTCTATTTTAATTCTTACCAGCCATTTTTACCCCTCATTCCCTTTTGACTTCCCAGTCCCCGTACGTTTTTGTCCTTCCAGTTTATTTTCCCACGTGTACCTTACACATGTCTGAGACATCTTCTTCCTCTGATATCTACATTTGTCTTTGTCGTTATTGTTACACTTCTCGTGTTTCTCGATGTCTTTTCTCAGTTTTGCATCTCTAAGTCAAACCTTTTCCGTTTTTTTTTCTTTGAAAAGTCAAACAGCGCGTGTCTGACAGAGATGCAAACGCGTACATAACACATTCTCTGGAGCTCTCGCCCTCTCTTAAGCATTATCGATTAGATACGTTTGAATCGTGCTGGAAAAACCGTGGGACTACAAGGAGATTATCAACCGACTCCAGCAGACGGTTGCCAATTGTAATCGCAGGGAGAAGAAGATAAATGTTACTTTGGGAATAGTGTTTAATTACAAATAATGTAGGAGCTGTTCGTCCGCTGGTGTAATCAAAACACGTGTTTAAAAAAGATCCTTGTTCAAGGTCTCACTGATACACACATTTAAATAAATGAAACCGAATGCACTCTGCATTTCCCCTAATAATTGCGCTACACTGATTAATTCTAAGCATTACAAGACTGCAGATTTGTTCCGAAAAAAATATATACCTACGACCTTAAGTAGAATAGCATGAAATATAAGACACACGACTGTGTGCAGTATATAAGTTTATGGGCAGCACTGAACAGATGTCCCTATTTATACCATCATTTTCCCACATGTCTGTTGTACATTGCCATCATGAAATCTTGCTCTAAACCTGTCCCATTCGTTTCCATAATGGGCACGTTATTCTGGATCACTGAGCACGAACAAATGTGTTTAATATCGCGTGCTTCAGAATAATTCAGTGCGAATCCAAGAAAAAAAGTATTTCA